GGGGGTGCTGACCAGCCTGACAGGTTCCCCCTTGCCCCTAGTCCATCCTGACGGTCAGCCTGTCCTACATGGTGGGGATGATCGCCAGCTTCTACGACACTGACGCCGTCATCATGGCCGTCGGCATCACCGTGGTCGTCTGCTTCACCGTCGTGATCTTCTCCCTGCAGGTCAGTGCCAGGGCTGCCCCTGGCTGGGGGGGCTCTAAATTGGGGTTGTAACCCCCGTGGTTCCTGGCTGGGGGGCTCCAGACTGTGGGTATGACCCTCCTGGCTCCCAGCTGGGGGCTCCCAGTGGAGAGTACAACCCCCCATCAACTCCCTGCTGGCTCTTGAGGGGCTCTGAATGGGGTGTATGACCCCCACTCAGCTTCCTGCAGGGTCTGAGGGCTCCAAACTGGGGTCTGACCTCTCTGCTGATCCCCTCTCCCCACAGACCAAGTATGACTTCACCTCATGCCGGGGCGTCCTCATCATCTGCCTCGTCGTGCTCATCCTCTTCTCCATTCTCTGCATCTTCATCCGGAACCGCATCGTGGACATCATCTACGCCTCGCTGGGGGCCCTGCTCTTCACCTGTGTGAGTCGGGGGCAGGAGCCCCCATTCTGGGGGGGCAGTGCCACCAGGACCCCTGGGCACTCTGGTTTGGTGGGGACTCAGGATATGAGTGCAGGTGTGGGGACAGGGGGTACAGGATGTGCTCAGGGGGTGCCTGGCTGGTTTGGGGGGGGAACTGGGGGGCTGCTGGTGCCTCCCAGCCCCGGGCTCCCTCTGACACCCCCTTTTCCACAGTTCCTGGCGGTGGACACGCAGCTGATCCTGGGGAACAAGCAGCTGGCGCTGAGCCCCGAGGAGTACATCTTCGCCGCGCTCAACCTCTACACTGACATCATCAACATCTTCCTCTACATCCTCGCCATCATCGGCAGGGCCAAGGAGTAGCTCCCCCCGGCCCTGCTGCCCCGTGCAGCCCCCCGGGTTCGAGCCCCCCCTCCCTGTAGCCGGTTTTGTTGCTGTTCTCATCGTGCCCCCCCGGTGGTTCTGCGTGGCCCCAGTTCCTGCCCCACGGGGCTCGCTGGTACGGGGGTTCTCACCACGCCCCCCCAGTTCCCCGCTCTCCCCTGCTGTGAATATGATTCCCCCCTGCCTCGTTGCATTGAACGTGGACTGGAAGCACTTTGAAGCCCCCTCCGTCCTGTCCTGCCCCCC